TTGCATGATGTTGTTAGTACATAATCATCATCATTATCATGTACTTTCTCAACAATGGATGCACTCGCCTTTTCTTTGGACTTCGACATAGGGCAATCTCGTTCAAAGTGCCCCTTCTTGTGACAGCCCCAACACTCCGCATTCTTTTTGTTCACACGAGACTTTTTCTGTACTTCGATTTGCTCCTTCCCTTTTGGCTAGTACGACCCCTTACAAAGAGTCCACTAGCTTCGTCACTTTTGTCTCCTTCAAAATGCATCCGCACATCACAAGAGTTTTGTGCTTGCCGCACTTGCTCAAGTTTAATAGGTTGTTTGCTATACATCATTGAATTCTCAATATCACGATATTTTGAAGTCAATGAAAATAGTAAAGAACATGCAAGTGTCTCCTCATCCTTTTTAATTCCAGCAGTTTGTAAGTCCATCACAAGTTTATTGAACGCATCTAGATGGTCTTGCAACAAAGTACCTGAATCTATCTTAAATGTATGAAGACGCCGTTGTAACAACATCCTTGTTGTCACTGACTGGTCCTGGTAAAGCCCTTCCAGCTTTTCCCATAACTCTTTGGCCGTCTCTTCGGTACTTGTACTCACTTTACAAAGTACGTTAGGTGCAAGGGACAGTTGGATTGCACTCAATGCATCTCCTTCAATCTTTTCCTTGTCGGATTCCGATATCTTATCAGGATACTTTCCGTCAATAGCATGGATTGAACCTTCCCTCCGCAGTAACGCTATCATCTGGATTTTCCAGATATTGAAGTTGTTGCGCCCACTAAATCTATCAATTTCAAACTTCATGGAACTCATTTTTTTTACTTGTTCTTCCTTTTCTACTACAATGTATTTGGAACTACAGAAAACCAAAGTAATCCTTTTCTGATGTGGAAGTTCAGACTGTGCTGCAACCACAGAGCATACTCAGACAGAACCTTGCTCTGATACCAATTGTTAGCGGAAACGTGAAACTAAAGAACAAGGAAGAACAACAATATTTAATGTGGTTCGGATCAAAATGATCCTACGTCCACCAAAGAACAACTGCACCAATATTTATTTCACTATACAAAGAATATAAGTGAAATACTACAAGAGAGAGAACACAATGCCTTAGAAGGTGAGAAGGCAAGTGAAAGGATGGTTTGAAAATGAATTAAGAGCTACCTATTTATAGGAATAAATTCATCCTATTGATGTCATCCATGACATTGCTATGTGTCAAAATTGTCAAGGTTAAGATAGCAAATCATTATATGGTTTGCCTAACTTTCACCTACCAAGATACAATCTTTGACTTGTATTTCCTACTAATTATCTTCCTACCAAATATTCATATTAATTCATCTTCCATTTAGTTTGATTCCACAAGAACCAAAACCAACTCTTTCATATGCTAATATATTTTAACTCACTAATACTTATCTAATATTTCACACGGTAAATTTAAATATCAGTTAATATATTTTTTTGATGTACAAATACCTACATAACATATCAAGCGGCAAATTTAAATATCTATTAATGTATTATTTTTAACTTACTAATTCCTACGTAACATTTTACACAAAAAAAAATAAATATTAATCAATGTATTTTAATTTACTAATACTTGGTAACGGTAAACCTAGAAAATCAATGTGTTTTGTCACATTAATTTCAATTATTTAACTAACACGTGTGTGCTTATATATTAGGTAATTTGACCGCGCAAAAATGATAATTGCATTGAACTTGCAAATAATCCTTTACTAATATCTATACATTAAAAATAATGAAAGATAGTGTTTACAACATGAAGTTGACTATTTTTCATATCACATAACTCAAAAACTTCTAATGAATGAATTAATTACGAAATAATAAATCATTGGTTCTTTAATAAAAATTAAAAGAAAAACAAAGAAGAAAATAAAAATATATATACAAAGGCATTTCGTAAAAAAAAACACATTTAAGACTGAGTAGAATAATTTTTTTTGTACAATCAATATAGCTACTATATGTATGTGTTTAATATATAGAACTAGAGACAATTGTTATGCCGTAATTTATCTATCTTTAGAAAAATTACTTTTTGAAATGTTCTAAGTATAAAACAATTTTGGAAAATACTTAGAAAAGAGTTGCGACTTTATTTTTTAAAGAAATTAAGAAAACTTAATTTAAAAAAAAAATTAGCAGATTAAATCTTAAAAATTTAGAGAAAATGGATAAGAGGTTCTCATTTATGCTTTAAGAAGGTTTTTAAGGCATTTGAACCGTCCGCTAACACTCGATTATCCGACGACTTAGATTAATTATTATTTTGACTATTTTATAGGATAATGATTTACCGTAAAAGAAACAATAGTTAACAATATTAACTTGAAGCCATTGTTAAACATAGAGCAATTTTTATTTTTAAGAAAATGAGATATTAGTTGAAATCTCTTAATCAAATTGCAATTAATTATAATTTTGGCAAAACTAGATTAATTAAAAGTCATTTTTTAATCATTTTATAACAATTGAACCAATTTGATTAATTAAGACACAAACTATTTTGAATTAATTGAATAATAAATAAAAGTTCTTGGCTAAATATATTCAAGAGTTGATGAAATGAAAATTTTATTTAGTCAGACAAACTAACATAAAAGAAATTAGTTGATCTTTTAGGGAATTTAATTAAGTTAAGCCAAAACAAAATAAAGGTTAGAGTTAATAGACAAAAAGATGAATAATCACAATGAAATAATTTAAGAGCAAGGGAAAGGAGTTCAATTTGACCTATTTAGGCCGAATTCACTGCTACTTTTGGGGTTTAACCCAAAATCGGTTTTTGTATACAAAGACCGTATATCAGTGTTTACAACTTGCAAATCAGGACCATTTCCTACATATAGACCCATATATCGATTATATATAGTCCAACTTGACACCGTAAATCTGTATCTTTGTTTTTGCCTAGTATTTATTGCACTGAATCTGTATACTAGTGTATATTTAGTGTATACAAACTGTTTACAGCTTTCTGGAACCACGTTTTTTATTTTCAGCCCCTATATCTTCATCCTATTGCTTTGGCTGACTCGATAAAAGGTAAAGTCGGGCCTTTGTCCCAACGAGAAATGCAAGGAGAGAAGATGGGTGTTCATGGCAAACTCAACGCGCGTTTCACATGGATATTCAATTTATCCTACAATGCTTTCACAACAAGTAAGAGAAGGAAGAAAAAAGAGGCACTAGATTAACGTTAACAATCATGGATATTCAATTTATCCTACAATGCTTTTCTTCCTAAAACAATGATTTTCTTCCTAACCAACATGAACAAATGTGATAGGAGAGGGTTGAAACATAAGAAATTAGGCCAAATGAACAAGCGCTAATTTGAAATTACACAAGATAGCCAAAAATAAAAATCCCTTTCTTCCTAACCAACAGTGAACTCCAAATACTATAGAAAGATGCACTTTATGTTCTCATAGGGCTAAGCGAAAATGGCAAAAAATCTAGGGGCATCTATAAGGTAACTGGTCCTTAGTCGAAAGGCAATTAGGAGCAAACAGAACAACATTAATAAACAAATCTCCCTCTTAGTGTACGATAAAGTTGCAAACTCACAGATAACGAGACATAAAACAATGCTTAGCAATTCGGAAGGAAACAACAACTACCAGTGGGCATTTTATAAACTCAAACTACAAAAGGTAAGTGATTTCCGACTACAAGAGGAACCAAATGAGGACGTAAACTTGATGAAAAGAAGTCATTTTAGGCAGCAAAGCGAAGAAAGGAAAGAAGGGACATTCAATCCAACTTGGGGATAACGAGATTCAATTTTAGCAGATTTACGAGTGAAGATGATAAGGGTGTACATGTGAAAAACTAACTAGCATAATAGAACATTCTATCAAGGAAAGTTTAGTACGCAAAGTTCCAGCAGCTCAGGAATGATCACTTTATTGATTCAAGTTAATTGGAATTACCCGATAACAAAGGATATATAACAAACATTTTTAAGTGAAAGATTTAGTGGTGTAGCAACCAGCAGGTGAATTAAGGCACTTAGTCTTAAAGGCAACTCGCATGATTTTTATGTTAGTTAAAATAACAGGAAGAAGAAAACAGTCAGATTATGAAAACCAAGATCGCCTATAGAGGTGATTTAGAACTTCATCACTGAACCAAATTTCACAGCCAACCAAACGAGATTAATAGAAAGAAAAAAAAAGAATTTAGGAAGAAACCAATTCAACATCATACAGAAACACTGAGATTTCGAGCAGAACAAAAACATACAACAACATTCGAATAATAAAACGAGCTATACAACTGATACTCAATCAATAATAGGTTAGAACGTTCTAAAGTTATTCTTAATGCTTGGACACATCAAATGGTCGAGAAGCATATACTCAAACACATTAAGAAACAGTTGATGAAATTTTACCTTCCGTGGGGCAGAGAACTGGGAACGATGATTAGCGATTCTCACCACGAATTTTGAATATGATTATTAAGCTAAAAGACTGAGAGTCGATCTTCTCTGAACTTAGAATTAGAAATCCAGATAAAAGTTTCAAGTGTAGAAATGACTATAGTGTTGGAATTAATGCATCAATGTTAAGTCTTTCAAAATTGTCTCTTAGTTTTTCAAGAAGTCTTTTTAGAATTTCGTAGTACATTTATTTAGTAAATTGTGATACATGTATTTAGTTATTTGTGCAAGACTTTTTGTTTTCTATTTTGAATATTATAAATAGTGATATAGTTGGTGATTGTAATCATCTCAAGTGGCCTTAAGTAGCCTATAATAAACTTGAGTATTCTCTAAGGATATTATTTTCCTTCCATATTTCCTACAAATTGGTATCAAGAGCAGGTTTTCGTTCTTAATCTGGAGTTAGGTGAAGAAAAAAGAATGGCATCCAAAACAAATGAAGGTGCTGATTCTTCAGTTGTTCTTACTCCATTTTTTTATGGAACTGATTTTGAATACTAGAAGATAAGAATGAGAACACATTTGAAAGCTGAAGGTTTGTGGACTATTGTTGCAAATGACTTTGAAGAGCCACAAAACGATGGTGATTTTACAGCAACAGAGATGAAAAATTTTGAGGCTAAGTATCGTCAAGATGCAAAAGCCTTAAGCAAAATCCAAATGGGAGTCTCAAGAGCATATATTTTGCAAAAATTGCTACTTGTGAGACTGCAAACGAAGCTTGGGATTTTCTAGAAACTGAGGTGTATGGTGACGAAAAGGTACACACTATAAATCTTTGAACTTTTAGAAGAGAGTTTTAAAATTTAAAGATGAAAGAATCTGAAAAAATTGATGAATATTGCACAAGAGTCATGAATATTGTTAATGAAATGAGAAATCATAGTGATACAATTTCTGACCAACAAGTTGTGGAAAAGATTCTAATTAGTGTCACAGAAAAGTATGAGTACATCGTTGCTATCACTGAGGAGGCGAAAGATCTTTCTAAGCTTTCCATCAAAGAGCTAGTTGGATCATTTCGTGCACACGAGAAGCGAAGATTTTTTCGTGAAGATCAACCCAAAGAGACGACTTTCCAGTCTAAAATAAATGAGAATTTTCAAAATTTCTCAAAAAAATCATCAGAAGAAAAATCAAAAGTCAAAAAAGAAGCGGGATCATGATGGTTCTTCCAAGAAGGTTGAAGAAAAAGGTGAGAAAAACTCTAGTCTTTTTTGTAAAGTTTGCAAAAAGACTAATCACAATGCAGAAAAATGTTGTCACAAAGGCAAGCCCCAATGTAACTTTTGTAAAAAGTTTGGCCATGTTGAAAAGGATTGTTTGCACAAGAAACGGGAGCAAGCAAATTTTTATGAAAAACATGAGGAAGAAAGGGAAGAAAATCATTTCTTTGCTTCTAAATCTAATGCTTCAACAAAAAGTAATGAATGGTATGTTGATAGTGTTTGTACTAATCACATGACTGGAGATGAAAAGGTTTTCCTCTCAATTAACAATAGCATCACTACTAAAGTGAAGATGGAGAATGAAGCCTTAGTTGATGCGAAAGATAAAGGTACTATTTCGATCAACATGAAAGGATGTGGTAAGCAAATTCATGATGTTCTTTATGTTCCTGACTTGGAAGAAAATTTGCTTAGTGTTGGTCAACTCATGGAAAATGGTTATTCCCTTATGTTTAGAGATAATTATTACAAGATTTATGATAAAGTTGAGCTAAATCAAGTCATTGTTGAAGTAAAGATGATAAAAAGAAACTTCCCTTTGCAATTTCATTACAACGCATTAAAAATGAAATTATAGATGATTCATGGCTTTGGCACAAAAGATTTTGTCACTTGAATTTTCATGGTTTAAAGCTTCTCAAGCAAAAGGACATGGTGCAAGGCCTTCCTGAGATACATATTGAGGTGGATACATGTGAAAGTTGTATAATAGGAAAGCAACACAGGAAGTCTTTTCCAAAAGGGGTGTCTTGGAGAGCTAGTGTATTTTTGGAACTAATTCATAACGACATTTGTGGACCAATGAAAACTCCATCTCTGGGAAGTCAAAGGCATTTTCTAATCTTTATTGATGATTTCTCAAGAATGATTTGGGTTTATTTCTTGAAACAAAAGTCAGAAGCATTTGCTACATTCAAGAAATTTAAAGCCCTTGTTGAGAAGGAAAAAGGTTGCAGCATCAAAATCATTCGCAGTGATCGAGGAGGTGAGTACACAAGTCGAGAATTTGAAGAATATTGCAAAAATGAAGGCATTCAGAAGCAACTTACAGCAGGGTATACTCCTCAACAAAATGGTGTATCTGAAAGAAGAAATAGAACAATTGTTGAAATGGCCAGAACAATGATGAATGAGAAAGGGCTGCCAAAATATTTTTGGGCAGAAGCAGTTATAGCAGTTCACATCCTTAACAGGTGTCCAACAAAGGCACTAAAGGACAAGACACCAGTTGAAGCTTGGAGTGGAATTAAATCTTATGTAAGTCATTTTAAAATTTTTGGGTGTATTTGGTATGCTCATGTACCTGCTGAGAAAAGAACAAAATTGGATGAAAAAAGTCAAAAATTTGTCTTTCTTGGTTATAGTGATGTGACAAAAGGATATAGGCTTCTCTATGTCAAAACTAACAAGTTTGTTGTTAGTAGAGATGTCATTTTTGATGAAAAAACAACATGAAATTGGGAGGATAAAAGATAGAGAATACTGCTATCATATCTTCAAATCAAGAAGAGGATGAGAAAAATGAAGATGTCTCTCAAGGGGGAGAAATCCCAAATTCAGTTAATGAAGAACCGCCTCTAAGAGGAACAAAAATGTTGAGTGACATTTATCAAAGATGTAATTTTGCCGGTGTTGAGCCAGAAAATTATGAAGAAGCAATAAAGCATGATGTTTGGAAGAAAGCCATGGAAGAAGAAATTCGAATGATCGAAAAAAATAATACTTGGGAGCTTGTGGCTATTCCTAGAGAAAGAGAAGTTGTAAGTCTAAAATGGATTTACAAAATCAAACTCAATCAGGAAGGAGATATTCAAAAGCAAAAAGCAAGGTTGTTTGCTAGAGGCTTCATGCAAAAACCAGGTATTGATTTTTATGAAACTTTCTCTCCAATTGCTCGTCCTGAGACAATTAGAACTGTAATTGTTGTTGCTGCACAAAAAAAATGGAAGAGATTTTAACTTGATGTTAAATCAACATTTCTGAATGGAAAACTTGATAAGAGATATATGTTGAGCCACCTCAAGGATTTTTTGTTCAAGGGGGAGAAGAAAAGGTGTATAGACTAAAAAAAAGTTCTTTACGGGCTGAAGCAAGCTCCAAGAGCCTGGTACAATGAAGTTGATACATACTTTCTGAAAAATAATTTTCAGAGAAGTAAAAGTGAAGCCACGTTGTATGTGAAGAAAGAACATGGCAGCATTATCATTGTTTGTCTCTATGTGGATGATTTGCTCTTTACAGGAAATGATGTAAAGATGATGCAAAATTTCAAACAAGATATGATGCAAGCTTATGAAATGAGTGATCTTGGATTGCTAAATTAAATTTTGGGCATTGAAGTTTCTCAAGTGAAAGAAGGAATTTTCATTTCTCAAAAGAAGTATACTAAAAGTATTCTTCACAAATTCAAAATGATGGATTGCAGGTCTGTGGCAATACCATTAGCAGCAAATGAGAAGTTTAGAAAAGATGATGGAGAAAAGAAAGTTAATAGCTCACTTTTTAGGAGTTTGATTGGAAGTTTGCTATATCTTACTTCAACAAGGTCATATATTATGTTTGCTGCTAGTTTATTATCCAGATTCATGCAAAAACCAAGCCAAGTGCATTATGGAGCTGCAAAGCGTGTTCTACGCTACTTGCAAGGAACAATGGATTATGGGATAAAATGTACAAATTTGGTGGAAATTTGAACTTAATTGGTTATTCTGATAGTGAATGGGCTGGAAGTATAGATGACATAAAGAGTACTTCTGGTTATGCTTCTTATTTGGATTAACCATTTGTTCTTGGTTATCAAAAAAGCAAAGTGTTGTTGCTCAATCCACTGCCGAAGCAGAATATGTTTCATCATCCAAGGCTACTTCTCAAGCTGTTTGGCTTAGGAGAATATTTGAAGACATTGGTGAAAAACAAAAAAAAGTGATTGTTCTGTATTGTGATAACAAATCAACAATTACAATTGTCAAGAATCCAGTCAGCCATGAAAGATCAAAGCATATTTCCATCAAGTATCATTTTATCCGAGAAGCACAAGAGAAAGACGAAATTTAGTTGCATTATTGTCAGACAAGAGAACAACTTGCTGACATCTTCACCAAAGCACTTCCTAGAGAAAAATTTTGCTATCTTTGCGAACGCAATGGAGTTATCAAGCAAATGCATTAAGGGGGAGTGTTGGAATTAATTCATCAATGTTTAGTCTTCCAAAATTGTCTCTGAGTTTTTCAAGAAGTCTTTTTAGAATTTCGTAGTACATGTATCTAGTAAATTGTGATACATGTATTTAGTTATTTGTGCAAGACTTTTAGTTTTCTATTTTCACTAATATAAATAGTGATGTAGTTGGTACTTATAATCATCTCAAGTGGCCTTAATTAGCCTATAATAAACTTGAGCATTCTCTAAGGATATTATTTTCCTTCCATATTTCCTACATATAGCCGTAAATCCAAATTGGAAACCGTTTGTAATTTATTTTTTCTATATCACCTCAAACTTAATCCTTTTTCCTCTCTTCTCAATCACTGAGCGTAGATATTATTTATTAGGAAGAAAAGAGCGCTTTAGGGGTGGGGGTGGGGGGTGGGGATTCGTTGGATTTTTGAAAGAAGAGTTTGAATTCTCCTTTGCTCCTTTTCGATGTCAACTGTGAGAGGTATGGGAGATTTATATCTTTACTCTGAAAATCCACAAAATGGGGAAAAGGGAACGGGACGCGGCTGCTGTAGGCGTACTATTACGCCGTTTGGAGCAGCTATTGATGTTAACTTGTGCTGGAGAAGAGTCGTTGGGTATGTCTATTGTAGCTGGATTATCACGATTTCTGTTGAGGAAGAACACACGAGGGTGGAGCGGTTCGCTGTACACATTTTCTGTATGTATTGTTAGCATTTGAAAATAAAGAGTGATAGGGTTGGGCTGGGAAATTGAATTGAGTGGGGTGCTAGTAGTTGTTGATTCAACATTGGAAAAATTAGCAAACTAGTCACAATTCCTAACTTAATTAGTAAAAATATCTACATTTTAAAATAATTATTGAAAATGTCAATATTTTAGAAAGTGATTTGTATTCAAATTTTATTTCTCAAAACAGTCCAACTTTGAATTAAATTCTATATTCATTACTCATTTACACTTCTTCATATGCTTTAGTACCATTAAATTTATTTTTCATCTTTCATCAATTTTTCAGTTTTCACCATCCCTGTCATTCACTTTTCTCTTCTTCTTTTTTCTTTCATCAAAATTTCACCATTATTCTCTCTCATTGTTGAAGAAGAACTAATTATTCAAGTCCGTAAAAATTTTTTCAGATTTATCAATTAATCAAAAAATCTCTCAATTGATAAAGGTATTTTTGAATTCATCATTTATTTTGCGAGATTTTGTTTCCAAAATTACACATTATGTTAAATTTTTGGATTGTATGTATTGAGGATTTTCCGTCATTTTTTATGTGAATTTGTTAACATACTCATCAAATATTTATGTATTTCAGATTTTTAGTATTTAAAATATTTTTTATCGATCTTTTATTATTATTTGTTTTTATATTTCAAATTCAATAGAATCTACATTAGCATTTAGGTATTGAGTTGTTTCGCAAAAGTATTTGAAAGTATTTTGAATGTTTTGTAGTTTGTAGCCAAATTTGTTTTTACAAAGTGATAATCTAATTACAAACCTGTATTTTGATTATTTAAAATTGTGAATGAATACTACATCAAAGATAAACAAGTTGGTATACATATAATGAGCAAAATAAAATACAAAACTATTTGATTGATGCAATTAGGATCAATACACATATAATGAATACATAAATAAACTGTATTTTGGCTATTTATAGTTGAGAATTAATACGAAATCAAAATATAAATACAAAACTTTATGGTATACATTAAGACGAATACGAATTCAAATCTAAATACAAACTTTATGGTATACATTAGGACGAATACAAAATCAAATCTCAATATAAACTACTTAGTATACAAAGTGATATTAGAAATAAGCAAAATAAAATACATATTTAAGATGGATTAATACCTACCCTGAAAACATAAGTATTGTATTTTGAATATTGGAAAATTTCTTAAAAGGAGATACATAAACTTCATAACCTTAACATGATAGCCAAATAACTTCATAAGATTTCAGGCATTTTTAATGATAAATTATAATTTCATAACATCAAAATGATGTCTTAGTAGAATAAAATGTTTCAAATATGATAATGTATCGTAAATAAACATTTTTAGAAACAAAAAGAAAAGAAAATTGAATATTGAATTTTTAGAACAATGGTGATAGACGTGTTTTTTAGAACATTGTGACAGAAGAAGAAAGAGATGGAAGTTGTTGTATTTTGATAAATTTCCAATTAATTATTTGTTTTTGTTTTTTTATAACTGATAACACTTTTAAGCAATTGTTTGTTTTTAATATTTTTCTCTCCCCTTAATTTCTCTTTTCTGTTTTTAACAATTGTTTCTTGTTTGACATTTTTACTAAACATTGAAAATAACAACAACAACGACGACGACGACGA